CTACGGGCCAGCGCTGTTCTGTTTCCGTGAGTTTCTTAGATGTATATGCACAGGGTTGCAATACTGCATCATCATTTTCTTGTAATAGCACAGCCCCCACTGCCACATCACTTGCATCTGCCTGTATTATGAAGGGTTTGTCCATGTCGGGGTGCCTTAGTACTGGTTCGGCAGAAAAAAGTCTCTTTAGTCTCTCAAACGCTGCTTGGCACTCCATTGTCCATTTTAGTGGCTGGCTAGGTTTACTGAGGATGTTCCCTTCATTTTTTAGTAAGTTAGTGAGGGGCAAGGCTATCTGTGCAATGAGGGATGAATGGGCGTAAAAATTTGGCAAGCCCAGGAAACTTTGTAGTTGCGTTCTTGTGCGGGGTGGTGCCCAATCTAATACTGCTTTGACCTTCTCTGGGTCCATTTCAATGCCCTGGGGGGATATGCGATAACCTAGGTAGTCTATCCTTTCCTGGTGGAATTCGCATTTTGAGAGTTTGGCATATAGGTGAGCGGCTCGCAGCTTCTTTAAAACCGCTCTGACAAGTTTGACGTGTTCTTCTTTTGTGTCGGTAAAGATAAGAATGTCGTCCAAGTAAACAAGGACCCCCTTAAACAGGTGCTCCCTTAGAACGTCATTGATTAATTGCATAAAGACTGCAGGGCCCCCTTGTAATCCAAATGGCAAGACTTTGAATTGCTAGCACCCCATGGGGCAGTTAAATGCAGTCTTCCATTCGTCCTTCCTTACTTCCTGATCCTTACTCGATAGAAGCTTCCTTTAAGTCAGTTTAGAAAAGTTCCCTTTCGATAGTTGAACAGCATGTCTTTCATGAGGGGCCAGCGGAGTATCGGTTGCTTTCACTGATTGTTTCAAGGGCCCTATAATCACAGCATAACGTAAAGATCCATCCTTCTTCTCTCTAAAAAGGACCGGGGCAGCCACTTTAGGCTTAGCTGGTTCAATGAAACCTCTCTCCAGGTTTTTTTTTATAAATCTTTCCATTTCCTCCTTCTCCTTTGGGCTCATGGAGTATAATCTGGGCTTCGGGAGTTTTGCCCCAGGCTTGAATTCAATGGTACAGTCTGTGGGTCGGTGGGGGGGCAGCTCATTCGCCCTCTCCTCACTGAAGACTTCAGCAAGGTCCCTATATTCCTCTGGTATTTCTGTTAATCTTTTTTTCTCTCCTATGGATGCTTTTTCTATTCTTGATTCTGGTAGCCTCCCTTGGGGTTTTAAGTCCATAGGGTCCCCCTTCGGGAATTTGATTTCTGTCGTCCTCCAATTTACCCAGGGGTTCCATTTTTTCAACCATTCCATCCCTAGAATCCTTGGGCATTCCATACCTGGGGTCACCACAAACGTTAAGTCCTCTTCATGGTTGCCCAGGGAGAGATGTATTGGCAAAGTGGCTAGGGTAGCTGTCACCCCCCCTGCTATGGATCCATCTAGCTGGCCAAATGAGATTGGTTGTTCCAGTCTCCTGGATGGGATGCCCAGATTCCCCACTAGTGTTGGGCTAATGAGGCGGCGGGTACAGCCAGAGTCTATTAAGGCTTTCACCTTCACAGCTTCGGGCATGGGGGGGATTAATATAGTCACTGTTTTGAAGATGGGTGTGATGCATCCACTTACCACGGGTTCGCCCTCCGAGCTGTCATCTGAGGCATCCACCGGCCCTGTGGTGTAGGCTGGAGTTCTTTCTCCTTGGTGAGCAGAAGTGGGGGGTTCTGCAATTTCCATCATTCTCATGGCCGTTTCTTTGGCTTAGCCGAATACTTTCCGGGTTTTTGTTATTGGGGATCTGTCTGGGTTGTGCTGGGGGGCCTTTGAGCGGCATTCTACAGCTCGATGCCCTTCTCTTCCGCACTTGAAACACCCCATTTTCTTCTTGGCTGTATCCGATGATTTCACCGGTTGGTGTGTCAGCTCAGGCGGGGGGCGGCTCCATTGTTTTCCTCGGCGGTGCCTCTTCAATATGTCGATCTCTGCTTCCTCTGCCAAGACGTACCATTCCTCAAGTCGATGTGGGTCCCCTCGGGGCAGGCAAGCATCATATAGATCATAGTTTAGTCCGTCTTTGAAATGGCCAAGGAGTGTCTTCTGGCCAATTCAGTTTGCTGGCAATGGCCCGGAATTCTTGTGTATACTCAGCCACTGGGCGTTTGCCCTGCCTCATCGTTGTTATTCTTTCACGGGCTTTGCGATCAGCCAGGGGGTCTTCAAATCGTCTTCTCAAAGAGGACATGAAACGGTTGAAGTTACTGAGTTCTGGGGCATTGGAGTCATGCAAGTTCACTACCCAATCTGCAGCTGGTCCATCCAGGGCAGATTGCACGATCCGGATGCGGGCTTTGTCGCTGGGAATGTCCTGCCCATATTCCTCCATGTAGCTGAGGACTTGGGTTAGGAAAAACCCCAAGCGTGTTGGCTCCCCTTTGAATTTCACTTCCAACGGTGGACGTCTTGGAATGGATCGGTGCCTCTGTTGTGGGTGGTAGTGCCTTCCGTCCAGATTGCCATCTGTGGTCCGGTAGGGGGTGGGAGCTCCTGGATCAGTAGATGTCCCTGGGGTTGCAGGTTCCACGTCCCCCTCGGTGTCTCTCCCTTTGCGGCTCCAGGAACTGGGGCAGCCGTAGGGTTCAGTATTCTCCTCTCCTAGGGAGCTGAGAGTTCTCTTCATCAGGTCAATAGCTTTCTCTAGGATCCAGTCTGAGTACGGTGCCCAGCTTTCTCCCTCTTCACTTGCGTGCAGGGATTTCTCCATCTCCTGCTTCCATTCTGGTTGCTTGGTCCCCCGTCTCAGGGTCACCTTTCTTGATTCCTTTCCCCACTCACTTTTCTTTCCAACGCCCATCGACCAGCGAGGCTTGTGGTCCTGTGTCTCCACCACTTCTTCTCCTGAGGAATCTGGCCTCTCGGATCCCAACATCTGGCAAGGTTCCAACTGGGTCAGCGGCTCTCTTTCCAGGGAGTTTTCCCCCTCTCTTTGCTCCATTGTCTGACATGGTAAATTTTTTGCAAAATCCCCCGGCAAGGGTCTTCCTTCCAGGTGGATTAATTTTGCAAGTCCTGTCTAATGTAAGGACCCACCCCACTTTGCATCTTAAGAAGACAGAACTCTTGGAATAATTCTTCCAACAGGAATCCTTTATTAAGAGAAAATGGTTGCAGGCATGCTAGACAGGACTTGGGGTTCAAGCTCTCCCATTCAAGGTTTTAAGGGGTTCCCCAGTAGTCCCACCCAATCAACCCCCCTTCCAGTGATAGTTTCAAGTATCACAATTCCATCCCCTTTCTTCTTCCGTCTGGATGGAGACTTCAGATAACTACATGAAAGGCAATTACTCTTCTTTGATATGTTAAAGCTTAGAGGCCACAATAAACACACATTCAGTCCTTTGAAGTGTGCTGAAGGAAGTGAGGGCCATAAAGCCCCTTTGCTCTCCCCCTTTTCTCCCTCTTATGGCAGAATCCAGAGAAGGCAGAATTGGGAGTTTCTATGTTTGATAATTAAAGATGAAATATAATTGGATTCTGACACTAGGCTTTTCTGCCTTTCTTTTCGTTTCTGACAATTCTGAAAAACTTGTTCTTTTAGGCACTTCTTTTTCTGCAGTTTAGCCTTTCTAGCACAATCTCTACAGATTGTGGCAAATGACTTGTAACCATCTTTGGTTATATGCTCCTCATTATTCCCTATAAATAATCCTTATATTTTTATCATTTAGAAATCTCTGTCTATATTCACATAGGATATGACTCGTTTTTATATGACTCCATTTTTTCGTAGTAGGGACTGCTTGTGATTGTGTCTTCATTGTTATGTTTTACAGAATCTCTGATCTTTCTTGCACTTTTTCTAGATTCCAAGCCAATGGTTCTGATCATTCTTCTGTCTCAGTTCACCAAAATCAGCTGTTGTGAACTCCAATGCACAAGTCTGAATCCTCTGTTGTTTCTTCTCTTGATATCATGAATTCAGGGATAACATCATTTTCTCTCAGTTTCCAATCACCTTCACTGGTTCAACAAATTTCTTCTTCTTGGATTAAGGATTAAGTTCAGAATAGCAGACATTTTTGTTCATTCTTCCATCTTAAAACAAATAAAGTTGTCAGCAAGAGTAGAAAGGAGTTTGTTGGATTCATGCTAATCCACATTTTGTTTAATTAAAACACATGAATATTTATTTATTATAAAATTTGGAGACCGCCATTTCACTCACAAAGCAACTCAGTGGAGAAGCATGTTGACAGAAAAAAGCATGTTGATAAGAAAATTCCATTTCCTGTTATATTTCAAGAAGTGAACACCTTAGATATACCTGGTCTTCTGGTTTGTTTTATAGTTAGCTCTTTCCAAGGCAGTATTCCAAAGCATTTCCAAATGCCTTGATATAGTGCTTGAATACAAAACATTTTCAGAAAACAACAAAATTTAGATGGCCCTTCCAGTTACAGCAAATGCTGGCTTCGCAGTTTTAAAATAATAAATATCAGAACTCAGATGAGAGCAAATGTCTAGGAAAATTCATGTCTCCAAGAAACAAAAGGGAGAATACTGATTGAAGATAATTTTTAGTTTCAGTTTATAATAATTTATGCTCTTTTAGAGAACATCAACAAAGATGATTAGGGGACTGGAGGCTAAAATATATGAAGAACAGTTGCAGGAATTGGGTATGTCTACTTTAAAAAAAATAAAAATTAGGGATGACAAGATAGCAGTGTTCCAAAATCTAAGGGGCTGTCACAAAGAAGAAGGAGTCAAGATATTCTCCAAAGCACCTGAAGACAGGACAAGAAGCAATGGATGGAAACCAATCAAGGAGAGAACCAACTAGAATTTAGGAGAAATTTCCTGACAGTTAGAACAATTAATCAGTGAAAAGGCTTGCCTCCAGAAGTTGTGGATGCTCCAACACTGGAGATTTTTAAAGAAGAGATTGGACACCATTTGTCTGAAATGGTATAGGGTCTCCTGTTTGAGTCATGGGTTGGACTAGAAGACTTCCAAGGTCCCTTCTAATTCCTTTATTCTATTATTCCCCTCTACATGAAAAAACGCCTTGTATGTCCATTATCAATGCCAAATGCTTCCTGCTATTTGTTTTTCTTCACAAATAAGAAACATCGAACCAAGAAAGCCACATTGGATGATGATTATTGATTGTTGGGAATAAATATAGGAAAGAAAAGCTTTATACCATATGTAAATATATACAAAAAGTATTTTTTACAAGAAAAGAAGAGAGAACCATCCAGGGAAGACCATCTTCTCTTTTCTTATCCCCAGATTCGACCACAATTAGGTTCAACATTACCTTCTTCCCATTACTTCATAAATAACCTGAAGCAAGGGGGGGGGAGGGTTGCAGCAGAATCCTCTTATCAGTTTACATTTATACTGTTATGCCAGATGCAAAATCATGTGTATTCAAATATTCATAAGCAGGCAAGGTCAGGACAAAGAAATGATTTTATTGCCTTTTCCCCAGTCAGTCATTGCAGTGTCAAATACTGCACTGATAATAGGCAGCAGCCTTGCCCCTGACTTATCTACTTCTTCCTGAAGTTATTTATCTGTATAATAACTGTTAATCCCATGAAACATTGGGGGGATTCAGTTTAATCTGGAAGTTGCTAAGTATAAAAAGAATGATTCATTGTATTTCTAAATTAAGCTTCAGTGAATGCACATTTTAAAAAGGAAGGGGGAACTTTTCCAGAAATCCACACTGGTGCCCAGTGAGAATCACTTTTTCAGCTTTCATTCCATGGAATAACTAGGGTTATAACTAGAATAAAATGGGATGACTTCATTCAGCTTCCTTTCTTTGTATACTTTTATAAGCTTTTTTGCAGAAAACCTTTGAATAAAAGAAACCCCAAAAGTTATTCAATTCGATGAGAATTCTTGGAGTGAGAAGCTAAACAAAGTGCAAGTCACAATAAAGCATACTTGTTCTGCAAAATGTTTTTAACAATTAAGCAAAAGCCTATACTGGTATAAGGTTTACCAGTAAGATAACTGCAATGAGATAGATCCAAAGCTGAATGCTACAACTGGATAGAAAACTTGTGCAGGAAAAAGAGAAAACAGCACTGTATCCTAGATATATAGTTATATGGGTCTGTATGTTTTAAAAATGCAAACAATGCAAAATGTGTGTGCACTTTAAAATGCAAACTGTGATCAGATTGTTATCTGGGTCATTTGTTTCTTGCCAGAGAATGTGGGTTTTTTTTATGGCTCTGTACAATTTCCAGGCACTAAAAACTAAAATGGTTTCTGCTAAGTCCTTTGATCGTGGGCGAATGATGAAGACTCATTGTGCAGTTAATAGCTCTTTATTCGTTTAACAGCAAAACCACAACAACGAGCAGCAGCACGCAGGCCTCTCTTTATCTGCCTAGAGCCCCGGACACAATGGCAACAATTAGCGGAGCGCTTTCACGCCTTGTGCATGCGCGCAAGGCTGGCGCCTCTCAGTCTGGTCCCGGGCAGCTTTTGGAATGTTATGTCCTGAGCTTTTGCAGGCTCAGGACACAACAGTTTCGTTATAGAATTACCCTCTGTTTAACCCAGAAGGAAATTTTCCCTAAAAGAAACTTTCCAAAATTTCACAAGATCTTGTCAAAAATGCCAATATCGTGGAAGATTTTATTATCTCGTGAGATATGGGTGCTTTTGCCAATGTCCAATTATATGTTTCCCAAACAAATTCTATTTTACAGAAGAAGTTATCTAGCTTTCAGACTAGCATTATGTGAATGCTAACATAAAGCATATTGAAACAATATATTGAAAGGACAATTAAAACAAATAGTTTCAAATTCAATGAACCAATTTTCAAAGGAACAATATTGCCTTACAATTTCTGTGGCTGCTGCCATTAGCAAAGTTTCCCACAAACAACTTATGACAAAAATGTGATGAAAATAAATAAGGATCTCAAGTCCTACCACACTCTGGCACAGAGCAAATTTAGATTTAATGCTGTCCATCGCTGTATTCCTGTTAATATCCTGTGATATCAATCCTCCTTAGGCAAACCAATTATTTGTGGTTCAGTTGCAACTGAAATCACAGAATGTTGATTTAATTGTTTGTGATGATGAAGCCCTGCAACTTTCTCATTCACAGGAATTCTTGCTTAATCCTATTCCCACATACTGGGTTTGGAGATCTCTTGTAACTTTCATATGTAGTCTTATCAACAAACCTTATTTTAATCCTTTTGTAAAACTTTTAGTCAATTTTACGATGCTGAAAATGAAAACAAGAATCTACACCCCTTCAGGTTTCACCTTGAATCCCAGTCTTTTGGTCAGAAGCATCTGCATTGCTAGCCACAATGATACCAATATGACAAAATTTGCATCATGATGTTTCAATGCAATCTCCAGCTCTTCTCTGTATTTGCAGACAATGTCACAACATATGATTATAATGATGCACATTTTATCATTGATGCTCTGGGCTCAAGTGAATCATCTCGCCATTCCTCCCCCCACACATATACAGAGTCTTTACACTGCACCTACAACAATTATAGTAGTTGAAAATAATACGTGACAGCAAAATGCTGCCACCGTCTAGCATTCAGTGAGAATTTCTAGGCAAGAAGAATGGTGTCTCAAACCCACCAGTTTTTCCACATAATGATACATAATCTCAAGTTATACCTTGAGCAGTGTTTTTGGTAGTACAAGTTATCCTAGACTTAGGACCACAATTTGGACTGGAATTACAGTTGCTAAATAATGCAGCTGTAAATGCACATTATTTAACAATTGGAATCCTGGTAATTCCTTTGCTGTTGTTAAGCAAATTTTACCGGAAGTTAGCTGAGGACTTGCATCAATCCAAGTTATTTCCAGCTTGGTCACTCCCAGCCATAAGCTTCAGTAAGGTATTGGACTATCTCTATCTCCCTCGTCCTGTCCACCTATCTCCACTACTCTGTCATTCCTGGCTTTTTGGCTGCTCTGCATCCAGTCTTTCGAGTTGCTTGCCATGCCCCAAGAGCTGCAGCTGCCCAGCCCAGGCCCAGTCACCCTTGTGACTCTGCAGTCCAAGACCTCTACTACCTTGTGCTGTGCCACTCCAGCTCACTTTCACCAACTTCTTGCTCCCACTGCTGATGAGGCATGCCTGGCTTGGGTGCTGGATCGAACTGGGGCTGGCTTCACACTGTTAAAAAAAAAAGAGAGTCAAAAACGGCTCCTAAGCTACAACATACCAGAATGCTCCTTTGCAAACACTCACAGGAGAGGCTGGGTTTGTCTTTGCACTGTGAGCAAAGGGGGAAAGCTAAAGCAGCTTTTTTTTTTTCAAAAGTTCCAACTTTAGAATTGCGTATTATTGAGCTTCTAGTATTACAGTCATATTCTGCCTTCTAATGTTATTGTTGGCTGTTTGGGCAATTAGCAGTGTCCTAATTGGCTGGTGCATTTTGCTCATGAATTATCCTTAGAGAGAAAGAAGTCTTTTCTCATCAGCCAAAAACAATACTACAAACTGTAGTAGAAAGTTTGTGACAAAGAAGGACACTGTAACATACCAACTATCAAGATTGGGATAATTTACAATATCTTACACTTCCAAAGTTTTCATGAATTCTTAAAGAGTCACTCCAATTATTAGCATGAAATACCCTCTAATGGTCAACTCTGGTCTGTTTGGTTTACCATTTAAAGAATCACATCTAATGTATTATGCAAACATTGGCATCTTTAAGACATCTATTTAATGCCCCAAAATGTCCTAATCATGAAATATATGAGAACCCGTTAATCTTGTGAGGCCATATGCAGCTTCAAGATGTGTAAGATGTAAATTAATGCCCTATACACTCAGTAAAATAAATGGATTTGCAGTTTTTTTAATGTAAAAAAGTTCAATGTGGCACTGAGCCCAGAATGGTAGAAGAAATTTAACATGTTAAAGGTGAACTTGTAGTACAGCATTGCCCTCCGAGAAATTATGCTTTCTGCAGAAAAGAATATAAATCAAGACAAGAAGTTGAAGGAGAAAACACATTTTCTAAGTGTTGGAGGAAAGAATTGCTTCTGATTTTGAACAAGGACCACTGTTATTATTTTCTGTTACAAGTGCCACATCACACAAAAAAAATCCATGGATTGAGCGTTGGGGACCCCTGCTTTAAACTATCATAAATCTGTTTTGGCAGTATAATAAAATATAGCCATAGTATAGGAAGGAGGCCTTGCTTCCCAAGGCAGAAGGTCAAAAGAGGTGCTATGAGTGATGCTGTGGCCTGTTGAAGAGGAGCAGCCATAGAAATATGCACATTCATTTAGCCTGGCTGTTTGTAATCATATGTTGAGCCCTTCCCTTATCTAGAATATGCCCATGTGCTGAGCACCATTCTTATCTTGGCAAGCAGAACTGTCCTGTTATTTCTTCTTCTTTTTTAAAAAAAAATTATATTATGAAACCAATGAAATGTCTACTAATGGGAGTAATTCACTCGGTTTGTTGTAGCAAGACAGATCTTTGGCAATAAGGGATTTGAAAATTTTTATTTATACCCAGTTTTTAAAAATTAGATTATCTTTCAGTGCCAATTGTTCATTGCCTTTTTTAAAAAAAATTCATTATTTGATGAATATCAATCAGTCAAGTTACACAGTCTAGTTTAGTTGCAAGGCATTTTTTATTTTATTTTATTTGTATCCTGCATTTATTAGTTTTATAAATAACTCACCTTCACTCTCCTACTTTCCTGCAACAACAGCCCTGGGAGGTTGGTTGGGCTGAGAGAAAATGCCTGGCTCAGGATTATCCATCTGGCTTTCATTATGTCTTTCTCTCTGAATTTTGCATACATATATACACAATAAAAAGCCATATAAATAAATATTGCATACAATAAAAAGCCATATAAATAATGGCTGAAGAGTGGTTAGTGTGGCCATGCCCTCCAACTGAGGATATCTTCTGTCTACAAGGCTCTCTGTTTCAAATCTGATTTAAATCCTAAAAAGACAGTAGTGAGGCAAAGAACCTGAAGTTGTCAACTAAAAGATCAGTAGCAGACCAATTTTCCTCACTTGATATTATACTTATATTTAAATAATAACGATCATTTCTAAGTTTGCCTGTCTATATATAAAGTATCTTTATGGAAAAATGTAGCCTCCTTTTTTCTTTTTGGCAATGCAGACAAGCTATGCTAACAATAGATGCTTCCAATCAGGAAATAAGAATAAATATACAATTCATGTAAAATATTGCCATGGGATGAGAAAAGGAAACAGAAATAAAGTAAAAAGTGGGGAAGTGTTGCTTCTCCTCCTCCAACATCCCACCCACTCCAAATAGTTTTTTTTTTTTCCCTTTGAGATGGCTTGCCTGGTTTGTCTGCTTAAGCTTGTCTTGCCAAGTTGTCTCCCAAACAGAAGTTCTTCTCATGGTTTCATAAACAACTGCAGGAGCAAGTGCTGATGGGAAGCTGATTTCAAGCTGCAGACAGCAAAATAGGGGGGAGTCATGTCTGAATTGTTTTTAAAGCAATGAAGAAGTAATATAGGAAGTTTAATAAGAGAATTGGATTTATTATTCTGACAAATGAATAAAATTGAGAAAGTCAAACTGTGACTAATATGACAACTCAAGGAAATTATTGCATCCAAGAGGTAGTATGTGACACTAATTACAGATTTGTTTTGTCATTAGGTGCTGATAGACAAGCAGTTTGTCTATTTAAGTTTATGAACCTTGAAATTAAGATGTAGACTAAAATGGGCTTGAAGGATGGTCTCCCATCTAGAAGATTTTTGCATATAGATTACCAGTCCCCAGCCTTTCTGGATCTGGGGACTGGCAGTGGTAGCAGGAGGTAGAGGTGATAATTTCATGTGCAGGTGACTCACTTGTGCAAATGTAGCGTTGTGTGCTTGGGCATCACTTATGTGGCCTGATTCCCAATGGGCTGCAGCCCGGCACTGGGCTGCAGACCAGGAATTGGGGATCCTTGGTATATATGATCAGTATAACCATTGCAGTCCACTAAAATAGAACCAGATTAGTTCTCCTGTAGACATTAATTGTGAATACTGTGATGGAAAATATGGTAAGACATCAAATTCCTCCACTTGTACACAATTTGACAAATAACTTTTATTCCAAAATAACATTCCTCAAGTCAGTACTGTCTCCATTGCATAATTAAATATTGATTGATTGGTTCACGTATAACTAAGCCATAGTTGACTAAATCAGAGTTTATTGCAAAAATTAAAATTGATTGAATACCAAAGTATATTAAGTCAAATACTGTTTCTATATATTACCCTCATATTAACATATCTTTCTGCAATGTATGCTTCCAAATATTCTCAAATCACAGTTTTAAATTCCAAGATTGTAGTAGTCTTTTGGCTACATATGCAATCGATCAGCTTTCATCTATACCAACAATGGAATGGGCCAGTATCTTTATGGGTGGTGGTTACAGCCCTTTTTCCAGGAAGTTTTTTCACTATCCAAGGAGAGAAAAGAAGGAATCAAATGTATTAATAAGGTTTAGATGAACTGATAAAAAATATAGTAGCCACATTTCTCATTTGCATGGTTCTCAAGTTGAAGGCAAATTGTACATACTATTTCTGTAATGCAGCAGTTGCACTGTAATTGGTGTAAGCCAGAAAAGGTTTAAAAATGTTAAGTTAAATATTTAAACTTGCAGGGTGCAAGAAGTAGGATTCTCAGACCTGCTAAGGTAAATAGAAATAAAGATGCTAGAAGGGAATCTGTCCCAAACACTAAGCAGGAGGGGAAAAAAATCTGGATGAGTCTTAGAAAGATAGAGTTACCAGTTGTCCCGCAAACTAGGACATGTATTTTTTTTTAATCTCACGATCTCTGCTCAGCAGGGATAGCCTTAAAATCAAATATTGCCCAACTTCTCCAGCAGCTTTTATATTTGGAAATTAGCAAGGTCTTCTCTATGACTTTAATTAGATGATTAGTACAATTAATTAATTCAATATCTACTGCCCAAATTGACAAAATCTTAATCAGTTACCTGATGAAGGCCTTTATCTCCCAGCTCTGGCACATCCCTGAGATTGATAAACCAGTCTTTCTGATGCTGAAAAAAATAATTTCATACACATGTAGGCCTAATGTTTTTGTTTGGAGTTGTTGGTTTTTTTGCAATTTTTCTCTGTAATTTTTGCCATGGATGCCAAGAGACTATGTGTTCTTTTCCTTCCATTTGTCCTCCTTTCCAATTGTCTGTGTCCTTCTTTGCTTTTTCAGATATATGGTAACTCCAGGAAAAGGTTAAAAAGCTGTGAAATTGTAAGCCCACAAGTAAAAGCACACATATCATTAAAGAGAGGAACAGAAGTTTAGGCTGAAAGTGTGAGTGAAAAAAAAAAAGATTAGGTTAGAAAGACACAAACTATGGTGGGATTAAGATAAAGAGGTTAAGTCAAGGCAGTAAGCAATAAGTTTAAAAAGATAAAAAAGGAGGCATTGCTTTCTGCAGCACATTATCCAGCTAAAATTCCACTCATTGCAGTTGTTAAGAGAAGGAGGCGTTTATGTTTGGGGGGGGGGGAGTTTAAGGGATTCAAAGTGTCTGTTGTTGACAGATCAATCAATAGACAGAAACTGGCAGTTTTCAGAGTAGGAAAATCACCTGGTGTACTACATTGACTAGAAGAAGTTCAAGGCTTGAATAGCTAAAGAGAGGAGTGGATAAAAGACCTGGGTCAGATGAAGCAAATGGTTTTAAGATTTTACCTGAAGAAAGCTGTTTGCCAGGAGCATTGCATCAATAAGGGACAGAAGAAAGTTCTGGTCGTATGTGCTTCTGAAATGCCCTGCATCTTTAAGGAGAATATTGAATCAGTGTCGTGTGACAAGCTAATTTTGGCAAGCCTCCATGCAGAAGACAAAAAGATTCATCTCACTGAATTCAGAGACAGACAGACAGATGTGGTTTGCCACTCTGTCTTCCTAGAACTGAGAGACATTGATTCTCGTAAGTTATTTAGGTGGTTTCATACCTATGGTAGGACTAGAACCTCCCAATTTCTGTCCTGAAAGCTAATTATTATATATAAACAAACCCTCACTCTTTTAAAGTTATTATTATATCTTCACAATATCACCGGTTTCCATACCTATCCACAATGATACCAAAATGATAAAATGTGAATTGTGAGATCACAGTTTAAGTTCTGACTTTTCATATTTCTTACTGGATACTGGGAAGAGAGAGAGAAAAATCCCTCCTCAGAGTTATCCTGCTCCCTTGCTGGTGGAAGATTCACAGGAACTTGTTTGAAGCAAATTACCAAGGAACTAAGTAACTAGTTTACCAAGAAACTAAGGGTTTCTGCTTGAGAAAATTAGCTTGTCAATCAGCTTGTCAAACCCAGGACCAGTTTCAACGTTACTGCAGCAGTTATGTCTATCCATGGAGGCACTGCTTGGATATACACAATCATTTTTCCCTTTTCTCTTTTTCTGTTTCTAAATTTTCTATTTTAGCCAGAAAAGGCCACCCAGCTAAAATGTGAGCTGTTTGAAGCTCTCATCCTTCATCTCATCAACAGCAGTAAAATATATATGGATATTAAAATGGATGTTGATCTTAAAAATTAATGCAGAAGGAAGGCAATTGACATGAAACATGTTTTTGTGGTAAAAGGAATCTCTGAAGACATGCAGTTTTATACAATTCAGTTTCTTTTCAATGGAGATTAAGCTGGCATGCAAGCATCAAACTGTTAAGTTTTTTGCCCTGCAAGTTTATCAGCCTGTGAAAGAACAACTATCACAAGATAAAACTTACCCAGTCATAGAATGGCAAGGATATAAAAAGATTTTACAGAACTGCAAGCCATCAATCATGAGATCATTTGATTACCGGGAAGCTCATCTTGCATCAACATAGGGCTGCATTTGCATTAGTCAAAGCCATGTTTTCCTATCACAGGGAAGCATCTTAGGTAAAATGATTCTGGAAAACTCGGCAGCTATTGATGCTGTTGGATCATTACATCTGGAAACATCATTTGAAGCATCGGTGAAATGTAAAACAGAGGTTTTCTGCTGTCTTTGCAAGAAACAGCAATGAGACATTCTCTAAAATAACCTTGGCCATGGTAGCCTCTTTTCTTAGAGAAACACAATGCAAAGCATGTTTTGCAGAATGGTGGCAGAAGCAGCATTAGTAGCAGATTTTTAAAAAAGAGTGGCTTCAATTATCTACTTTATGGTAGAATTATACCTGACACCAAACAATAGGAAAACCTTGGTATTCATGCAATATACCTTTTCACCTGCTTATTTCTTACAAGTATTAATCAAAAATAAAAAAGCCTTTCCTCTTTACATCTAATTATAGTATGAATACACCCTGGCAGCCTCTTTCTAGACAGACCCTAACAACATTGTCTTCATCTCATCCCCAATCCATATATGAGGCAACTTAAAGTCATTTTTACCTTTTGGGGGGGGGGGTTCTGTCACTCCAACACAGTTTTGTTGTTGATACAATTTGCCATGTTTCACCAATGGTGTGTTTCACTAATCATTTGATTGCTGATACAATGAGAGTTGATCTCAAGATCTCATATTGGCCATGTTAACTTGCTACATGCTTCCCTTTCCTCCAGTTGTGGGTCACTGTCCTCCAAGGCCACTTCACTTGGACAGAAAGATTGATCAGGTATATGTTGAGGGCTGAGGAAGCAGTCCTCATAGCTATTGAGAAGTGTTAATAAAAGTTATTTATAAACATAGAAATTCTTTTGGAAGAACACTACACTTGTGTCATATTTTAGTCCTCCTATTA